ATAGTCATACTATAATACATACAATACTTAAATTACATTTGTGCACATATCATTTAAAAAAAAATTTCCTTTATATTCTAATGCGTCTAGATTCATATTTTAATATTGAATTTAAATGAAATTATTTGTGCACGTTTAATTTCTGGGAAAATGCATGTATGCCACCTTAATTTTAAAGTAATTTAATCAGCTTAACATATTTAATCAGATGATTAGTCTTTAACTAGTTTGACATAATCTGAAAATAACCAAATATTAACAGTATTTTCTCACTATATATATGTGTGATAATGCATCAACTGTTTGCTAGGTATATAAACGCAAATCTGAGCATTGCAAAAACTACTATTACAGAAACCAGATTTGGTTTGAATCAATTTATGCAAAAAGCACGAAAAGGTTTGCAATTACATTTTAGTCAGTTTTGTGGAGAATATGACAAAACTACTGTTAAGCTACACTAAAATTACATCTGGGAGAAGAGCAGCAGGTTCAGAAACTAAATTATGATATGAAACTGCCGGAATATTGTGAAAAAGCAAGAAAGCAACAAAGAAAGCATGCATGCCAACAAGAAAGCAAGCAACAAAAAGCATCAGGTCAGAAACAAACACGGTTGCATGTAATAGACTGATTGTAAAGACTTCAATCTGGGAAAATCAGGTAAAGTACAGTAAATTACAGAACCTATAAATACATATCTAATCACATCACATGATATGATGCATGTTTGATAGATGCTGGAATCCCAGATCTGATCAGTGCAATTCAGCAGTGACTGAATTTGATTTGCATCAACTATGAAACAGGGTAAAAAAAAATAATAATAATAAGATTACAGTCACTTTAAAGTGACAGCATTGACTGTGCTGATGGAGAACAGACGCTGGAGAGCAGCGATCTACACTGGAACATATGCAGCTCTACAGCAGCTCTGATGAAACCGAGCAACAGGTTCACAAACCCAATCCCAGCAGCGCCAGTTTAGCACGGCACGCGCGTTCATAAATGCGCTTCGCAAACGGTTTGAAAGCCTCTTTTCCTCAGACACTGCGGACTGCGGGTGTGGTGACTGCATCAGCTCTCTCTCTCTCACACACACAAACCCTCACATGCACAGCTAAACGATAAACAACACGCAAACGGACGATGCAACGTTTTTTTCACCTCCTTTAACGCGTGAAGTTCAAAGCATCACGAGAGCATCAGCACTTCCATTCACTGTGGAAAACCACTCAGGTCCACACGCACGAGCAGAATCGATGATATAACATCTCAAATTCAATTGAATCCAGCTCTATTATGCGAGAAACACGTTGATGTTTCGTGCATCGCTCGCGCATCCCGCACCATGAATATTTCGCTCATCCGTGCACAACAGAAGAATTCAGGTTTCGATGCATAAACCGCTGTGGTGCACCGGACTGACCTCCCAGTCGATGGAGTCCCACTCGTCGGCGAACATTCGGCGGCTGTGAGCTCGCGCGCTCGGCGCCACTAGGGACGATCGGATGGCATCGCGCTCTTAAAATCCACATCAAATCACTCTCAGGCGGCGAAATCCCACATATCCCGAGCATGAGTCCGAGCGGAGACCGATGGAGTCATGTACACGCCGCTGCCGCTCGTTGAGCTGCGCGTAAAAGCGCCGCGCTCCGCTTCGCCGTGAAGAATGAAGGGGGCGAACAAGTGCCCTCGCTAATTACTCATTTACCTGAGGGCTTTCACCGCGTACAGTACACTTATGACAGGTTCAGTCCTTGTGGAGTGAGTCAGGCTCATAGCTGAGCCGATGGAGAAACATCCTCAACAAGAGTTACTGCATTTCACGCGCAGCCTGCAAATCCAGCGATGCGCCTTTAAGGAAAAGTTGTTGTATAAGGGCTTTCCGAGAGCCTTCCCTAGCCAAGAGTCAAGAATCAAATAAGATCCGCCTGGATACGCGGAGACTCTTTTACTCTCCGTTTGTTTTGAGAATTGATTTCAGTTTATCCTGAAGGATCTTGTTTGATTCTTGCAGCGCCTGTACTGAGTGAGTTAAAGCTGCTCCAAATTCTGTGGAAAGACCCAGTGCAGCATAAAAGCAGGAATAAAACTTGCAGAGGCGGCACGGG